TCTTTTGATTGGAGCATATAGTCCATTTACATTCAGAGTGATTATTGACAGATACGAATCTAGTGCCAGCATATTGCCTGTAAAGTCATTTCCGAGGATTTTCTCTGTTATTTTTGGTTTTTCTTTCCTGCTCAGAGAGTCCTCAATTATATTTCATCAGGACTGGGTTAGTGGTCATGAACTCCTTTTGTTTTTGTTTGTCCAGGAAACTCTATCTCTTCTATTCTGAATGGCAGCCTTGGTGGATAGAGCGTTCTTGGCTACATACTTTTCCCCTTTAGCCCTTTGAATATATCATGCCACTCCCTTCTGCCTGCCAAGTTTCTCTGGAGAGATCTGCTGCTAACTGCATTTTTCTTCCCTTGTAGATTAGGAATTTCTTCTCCCTTGCTGCTTTTAGGATTCTTTCCTTATCTCTGTGTTTTGCAAGTGTTGGCCTGCTTTTGTTGATTTTGATGGGAGTCCTCTGTGCCTCCTGGATTTGGATATCTGTTTCCTCCCCCAGATTAGGAAGTTTTCAGCCCTTATTTGCTCAAATAAACCTTCTGCATCTTTTACCCTCTCTTCTTCTTCTGGGAATCCTATGATAATGAATGTTATTATTATGGAGTCACTGAGTTCTGTAAGTCTACTTTCGTGATTTAAGATTTTTCTTTCTCTTTTCAGCTTCATTATTTTCCATAATTTTATCTTCTGTATCACTTATTTGTTCCTCTGATTCTGCCCTCTTTGTGGTCATTGCATCCAGTTGGTTTTGCATCTCAGTTACTGCATTTTTTATTTCAGTCTGACTAGTTTTTACATCTTTTATCTGTAGTAAGGGGCTCCCTGGTGTTTTCTTTGCTTGTCTCAAGCCCAGCTAGTATCCTTGTGATTATTGTTTTAAATTCTGAATCAGGCATATTACTTATATATGTTTCAATTAGGTCCCTGGCGGTGACCTCTTCTTGTTCTTTCTTTTAGGATGAATTCCTCCATCTTGGCACTTTGTCTAAGTCTCTGTCTTCTGTGTGTTAGGAAAGCCCGTTATGTTTTCTCCTCTTGAGAGTAATGGCTATAAGAAGAGGTCATATACTGTCCAGAGCTTGGTGCTTCAGGAGTTGTCTCTGGTGTATGCTGTGTGCACTCCGCTCTTGTGTTTTGGCTGCTCCTTCCTAAGGTCAGTCCTCTGCAGAGTTTCTCTTTGCCTGCCATGGGCAATGTTTTGCCCTTGGCCAGAGTGTGGTGAGTTTTAAGTATGTGTACTTTGGTCTGCTTACTTAAAGACGCTAGACCCAATTTCCACTAGAGCTGAATCTTTGCAGCGCTCTGTGGTCAGTAGACTCGGTGCGTGCAGGTGGGGGTGTTTGTGCTGGTCTTCTGGGGGAGGGGCCCATAGCCCTAGATCAGAAGCAGCTGCAGAGTGCAGCAGGGCAGGGCTTGGTGTAAGTGGCTCACGCCTGCACTGTGGGCGCTCTGCTGCTCCCTGGCCTGCTAGTGCTGATGGGTGCAGGAGAAAAAGGGCACCTGCCCTCTCCCTTGTCGCTGGAGATGGGAGTTTGCACCTGCCACTGTCCAGGAAGCCTCCACGGAAGAGTGAACAATCTCCCTTCATGTGTCCCAGGCATCCCTCAGATCCTTGCCTTCACCCTGTGTCTGGGCTCCTTGCCTGCCCAGCAGGCGTGTGTTTCATCTCAAGTGCACCAGCTGAGTTCCAGAATTTTAGGGACCCACGCTGACCCTCTGGGTGAGGGTGTCTGCTCTGGGGCTGGTGCTGGTTTGTCCCAGGTCAGTCACATAAACGCACAGGCACTTAGAGTTTAGGGTAAAGCTCGGCAAGAAGCTGGCCTCCAGGTTAGCTGCCCTCAGCAGGTGTCTCTGCACCTGTGCTAATGAACTGGGCGGCCCAGTGGAGCCCAAGGGCTCTTTGGCCCCAGAGAGGCATTGCTGCCTCTCCCAAATGCACTCCAAGAAGGGGACCTGTCTCTCCCAGCATGACCCGCAGACTGCACTGTCTGCTCCTGGGCCTCCACTCCCCCACAGAAGCGCCGCTGTGCCCCCTGGGCTCCACACCAGCCACGACCCGGACTTCTACTAAAACTTCAGTCTTTGAGCTCTGCTGCTTGTACAGACTCCCAGCAATCAGCCCCTCTCATTTTCCCAGTCAGTGGTTTTGGGGGAATGCTTTTCTTGTGTGATCCCCTGTGTGCCACGCGCGCGCGCTCTCTCTCTCTCTGTCCCTCTCTCTCTCTGTCCCTCTCCATGATCAGGGCTTCTTCCCCTCCGCAGTACCCATGATTGTTTCTCTCCCAAATCATGTCTCGCACCTTTTGCCTTCCACGATGTGGCCTCTTCTCTCCCTCTAGTTGTGTGGTCTGTTCCGTCAGTCCTCAGATCGATTTCATGGGTGTTGAGGATGATTTGATACTTATTAAATTCATCGTCTGCTTGAGGCAGGTTGCTGCTGCTGTCCCCATTTTACTAGGGTGAAATTCCCTTAGGGGCCCAGCACACGTCCTGACAGCCTGGCTGAGGAGGGAGGACTTCAGGATACTTGATTGACTGTCAGAGCCAGAACCGGCATCCGGCTCTTGGTTGTATGGAGTCTGCGGGATAGTGAGAAAGGGTGCACAGAGTACACGGCCCTGTACACACGGACCCCGCACACACCCTTACTACAAGCAAGGCTTGTGTTCTTCCCGTGGCTTCAGGGTCAGATTCCTGTGAACACCTAAATCGCACTCATTGCTGTTCAGAACTGACATCTTTACCCCGAAAGGATGAAGTAACCGTATTTCCCAGTCCGTTACCACATCAGGAGTGAGTTTACCGCATGAGGGTCAGTACACTTGTCTCTGTTGTTGGCTTGTGTAGGTCTAGCATCCATTTTTACTTAAAAGTGCTTGATCCTTAAATTGCCTGAAAGGAGTGTCCTGAAAACATAATTATATTAAGTCCTCTATAAAAGAAGAAAAAAATTCAAAAGCTTTGTAGATGAAAATTGATGAGCGATGTGCTGTCTCTACACGGCCAGACCTGAAGGTGGGACCTACACCCGACACATTCTTAGTCTCAGGTGTGAGAGAGAGGCTCCTGTGTTGGCTGAGGAAGATTTCTTCATCTAGCATCTCAAAACCCATATAAGATAAAACTCCATCATGTGACTAGATTATTAGCTAAAAATAAAGTGAATGGACAGCAACAAATAAAAAGAAATCCTCAAGTCTCTGTTCTTTTCTCAGCTTCATCCTCAAATTCCTGTTTATACCCGTTCTGAGTTGTTCTGAGAAAGGTGCCATAAGCCGACTAAATTGGCCATTTGCTCTCAGACTTGGCATCTTCCTGCAGCATGATGGCCTCCTCTTCTTTTTGTAGATTGACTGTTACAGACTCGGATGGAGCCACTGACTCCACAACTGCAGTCCTCATGGTCAGCGGTGCTGTGGACCATCCGCCGGTTGCCAACGCAGGACCAAATCAGACCATAACTTTGCCCCAAAACTCCATCTGTTTGAATGGAAATTGGAACAGTGATGATCATCATATTGTCCTCTGTGAGTGGTCCCTGGGTCCTGGGAGTGAGAGCAAAGAGGTGGCCATGCAGGCAAGTTCTCTATTCTGCCTTCAGACTTTTACTTGTCTATCCGTCCACCTACCTGCCCTCCCAACCGTGTACCCATCCATCCATCAATCCACCCATCTACCCACCCATGCAGCTATCCATCTGCCTGCTCATCCATCCATTCATCCATCCATCCATCCATCCATCCATCCATCCATCCATCCATCGGGACATCTGTCCATCTGTTTATCTCTTCACACATTTACCTACCTACCTACCTAAAGTATTGCTATGTGTGTGGGGGGCAGTTATATCTAGAAAATATGTTTTACAAGATTATCTGATAGATTACAACTATTGGAAGAGCCCCGGAATTCACAAATCTTCAAAATTTACGTCCTTTCCCCTCATGCATTCTCTATAAGCACGGAATAGCAACTAAGTGGGTCCCATGTTGACAGCTTGATCTTGAGGCTAGTTTGGAGAAAGTCTGACCCAGCATTTGCTACGGAAATACTATTTTATTTTAGTATTGGGAGAAACTTTAGAAATAATCCAATATAAACTTTATTATCAGGAATTTTTTCCTTATCTGCAGTAACAAGGTTATTGTCCAGTGGTTGACAGATTAAGATGTTAAAAGAGGTGAACTTTTTATTAACTGGAAAATCACAAAGACGACTGTAAACCAGACTCTTACATTCGTGGAAACGTCATGCAAGGCAGCCTGCTGCAGCAGCTTTGCTCCGGATGGGGAAGCCCACAGAGCACTCCGATGGGGTGGCTCTGTGGGCGCCAGGTGACACGTGTCGGTCTGCCCAGTTCCCGTCTGCCACAACATTCCCTGTACTGGGTACATAAGCCTTCATGTAACCGTAGTAATTTTGAAGTGAGGACTAGGAAATTACTCTTTTGTAAAGCTTTTCAGAGAAAAATGCTTCACTTTATTTAGTCAAAAGTAGGGAGGGGAGCCTGGGTGGCTCAGTCGGTTAAGCTTCTGACTTCAGCTCAGGTCATGATCTCGCAGTTTGTGGGTTCGAGCCCCACCTTGGGCTCTATGCTCACAGCTCAGAGCCTGGAGCCTACTTCGTATTCTGTGTCTCCCTCTCTCTCTGCCCCTCCCCCTCCTCACACTCTGTCTCTGTCTTTCAAAAATAAACATTAAAAAAAATTTTTTTTTAAAAAGTAGGGAAAAGCTGTAACAGAAACTGGAAACAGTCTCCGTGTTCATCAGCGGGGAGTGGCCAGACCCGCCATGATACATTAGACAATGCTAGTTTAAAAGAGATAACTTAGGGGCACCTGGGTGGCTCAGTTGGTGAAGTGTTTGACTTCAGCTCAGGTCATGATCTCGCGGTTCGTGGGTTTGAGCCCCATGTCGGGCTCTGTGCTGACAACTCGCATTGTGTCTCCCTGTCTCTCTGCCCCTCCTCCCTATTCACTCTCTCTCAAAAATAAACATTAAAAAAGAAAAGCTGATAACAAAAACTGGAAAAAAACCTCAGTGTTTTTTTTAAGTTCTTAAAAGTATATATTTCAAATTTCACAAGTTCCCCTTGTGCCAACACAGTTGGTTTTCCATCATCTTTTTTTCAATTTTCCATTAAAACCTTTAACAAATACATGCAGATATATTTATCTTTAGACAATCTCGGGATCTATAAAAGTAAGTGAAGTATAAGAGGATTTAAGATTAAAAATCCTTTCTTTGTTGCCATGAACTTCAGACCTAAGCAATAATTGGAAATGTTACCAACAACAACAAAACAGCAACAAAACGAAAGGTTATTAACTTGGAGACAAGTGTAGCTATGATATACTCAATGGAAAAAAAATATCGAAAAGTTTTGTTTTAGAATTTTAAAAAATTATTTTTAGTTATAAGAGTAATACATGAATTGCTTCTTATGGTTAAAAAAAAGTGAACTTCTGATAAAGTGCAAATACAACCCGTATCCCGCCCCAGTCCCCTTACTGGAGATAAATTACTTTGGTCAGTTTAATGTGCGTCCTTCCAGAATCCTTGCGTGTGTATGTATACGGACACGTAACAGTATCTGGCACACTATATGCCTTGTTCCACAACTTTCTCTCTTTGCTTGATGATGTATGTCTTTGACATCTTTCCATTTCATTATAAATCTACCTTAATGTTTGTTCATTTTTGAGAGAGAGAGAGAGACAGAGCGTGAGTGGGGGAGGGGCAGAGAGAGAGGAAGACACAGAATCCAAAGCAGGCTCCAGGCTCTGAGCTGTCAGCACAGAACCCAACATGGGGCTCGAACCCACGAACCGTGAGATCATGCCCTGAGCTGAAGTCGAACGCTTACCAGCTGGGCCACCCAGGTCCCCCTAAATTAATCTCTTTTAAACGAGCATTGTATCATGTATCATGGCAGGTTTGGCCACTCCCCACTGATGAACATTGAGAGTGTTTCCAGTTTTTGTTATCAGAGCCCATGCTTCCTCAGGGTCCGGTGTGAGCCTCCTTGTGCATGTGGGTTCTCTCTGGTGGAGGCAGAGAGAAGTGGGATTGCTGGTTAAAGAGCATGCTCGTTTGCCATGCAAATGGATGTTGCCAGATTGGCTTCCAAAAAGGCTATATTAATTTATACTTCTTCAAGAAGCACATGAGGATACACAGTGAACTTTACATTGCATTTTCTTGGGACACACACATTTCTTTTTCAAGCAGGATCTCCATATTTAACAACATTACTCATTTTTCATTATGTCATACTACTTCTTAAAATTACTTCTTTTCTTTCCTTTTTTCTTGTCTCTTTGGTATCAGGGCATCGAGACACCATACCTTCATTTGTCTGAAATGCAGGAAGGAAACTATACGCTCCAGCTGATGGTGAGAGATTCTTCAAGACAGCAGTCCACTGCTGTGGTCACTGTGACTGTCCAGCCTGGTAGGTGGGATGGGAAAGGGATTTGGCCCCAGAGATTAAGGCAGAAATGACACCTGGGCCTCTTGCTTCAGACAAGCCAAATTTGGTGGCAAATTCTCTAAATCTTTTAACTGTGAAGTAGTAGGGGCTGGAAGAGCTAAATCTTAATATAAAGCCAGTTTTCCATTGTGGTTCTGAATCTTGTGTTGAATGTGCATCTACACCATGGTGTGGAGGACCAGATGGACATCCTCAGGGCCATTCAAGGGCTCCACCTGCCAGGTGGACACGCCCACATGTGTTCCACTCTGCTGCAGAGGGTGATTGTGATGTGTGGCCTGATACTCACATGGCTTGTATCCAGATGTTGGAGAATTGACCCCAGGTCACCTCACAATCCTGTAATGGTCTCATGGAAATCCAGGACTCTGCCTTCCTACACATTTAAATAACCTAAGGGTAGTTGGGTTTTCGCTTGCCAATGGTCTTGGCTTTCGAACTTTTCTAGAAGATGCTGCTGGTCCCTGTAAGCCATCCAGTGTCCTGGCAACTGAAAATATACTCAATTTGTAGACAATGCATTTTATTGTTTTATTTTATTTTATTATTTTTATTTTATTTTATTTTATTTTATTTTATTTTATTTTATTTTATTTTATTTTATTTTATTTTTTCTGTTAATACGTAGTAGGTGCTATGGGTTAGATGCTGGGGATGTGGCATTAAACAAGATAGATTTGGGCTCTGTCCTCCCGCGGCTTATGGGTGAAAACCTCATGATCAGTGCATTTCTAGCGGATGGACACGGTGCTTCTGGAGCCCAGGGAAAACACACCTATCTCGGCTTGAGGCATCTGCAGAGTCTTACGTGAGCTCTGGGTTGTATCTGGCCAGGTGAATTTGGGGAGAGAAGGGCAAGAGGAAGAGTTTTTTAGGCAGAGGAAACAGTATGGAGAAAGTCCATGGGATGAAAGAGAGTTTGGTAGTCCAAAGAATTAAGAAGAATGTAGCGGAACAAGAGAAAGCAGTGAGGATGTGGGCGTGTGAGGGGCAGGGGTTAGCATGCCTGCGGGTGATCTGGAGGGGGGAGGCAGGGGCCCACCGTCAAGGGCTTTGCAAATGGATGTTCACGTACGTGTTTTATCCTAAGGGCAAGAGAGGCCCCTGGACCACTGAACTTTGCTGAGTAGGACAGTGAGGGTGGGACATGGTCCAGATATTGGGTAACTGCTACTAAAGTTTTTGACTACTTGAC